GAACGCGGAACATGCGATAGAGAGGCACATACGTAACCTTCAGCTTGTGACTTATTAAAATTGTCGTCCGTGAATTGTTCAGTGCTTTTGTACATAAGTAGGAATACTAAAAAAAATGAGATAATTTTAAATAGAAAGTGAAAATAAAAATCATAGAGTGTGAACGAGTCTTAACCAAGTCTTTGAATGTAATAGTTCTGATCTTTAAAGTTTCAACTCCCAATTCATATTGCCAAGTCATAACAAAAACATTACGACATTTGTTTTAACTTTGGAATAATTAGAATAATTATATCAACAAAATGCCAATAAACACAATTAAGAACGGTTTAACACTTATCTACACTCTATGCTAATATTTAAAGAGGAAAGATTTGTATTTTTGTATGTTTTGAAATGACTCAAAAACTACTGGGCCGATTTCAAATATTTTTTCACTGCTAGAAAGGTAATTTTACCTTAATTGTTGGGAAATTTCACTGTTAGAAAGGTAATTCTCACAGATAAATGTCTGTGAGTTACATATTAGACCTTTTATTATTTTTTAATTTCACGGGGATGAAGTCGCGAGGAACAGCTAGTGTAAATAATTTTAGCTGTTGCTTCTTCCAATTCGTAAAATTTAAAAATTAAAATGCAACACAAACATTATCAAATACAAGCTCAAGCGAATATGAAAAAAAATAACAAATATGAACTCTCTACGCCATGCGAGTGATGTGTCATGGCCGACGCCGACGTCCGTTCGCGCGGGAAACGTATATTCCGCATGAGATGAGACGCAATATGGAGTCCAATGCACACAACAGAGAAATATCAATTCTGATGACACATTTTTATAATATAAGTTGGCAAACGAGCGAAATGGCGAAGTGATCGCAACCCATAGTCATTTACAATTGCAGATGCGTTGTCTACTCTTAATCGACGGAGGAGACGCACATAAAGAGAATACTTCCACTTCCTATGCGTCTTCTCCGCCGTCAAATCCACTTTTCCCATCCTTTCCTCTTAAAAAAAGATGGTAAGGAAAATGGACTAACACTAGGCAGCACCACACTCATCGGACAAACGTGGAATTGCTCCCACTTCACGTATGTCTTCTGTGTGGTCGTGGCAACACCGGAGAACCCGGCCCATTCGCAAGATTTTAAAGCGGTCTCTACCACTGTTCTAAATTATATTGAGAGCAAATAAAATAATTGAAAGGCGTCCCTTTTTCCTTTGTGTAATGTTTACGTCTGCCAATGTTCGGTACAAACACAATACCTGAAGTATAATCTCGAGGTCCATATTATCGCATAGCTCGTAATCATTGGTGAGAGTAGCCTCTGAACGGAAGGCCTCCGCGCTCGCTAAGTAACCCTCCTGCTTCAGGAAGCCATGCACCAGGTATTTAAGGATCCTCTTCCTTTGCCTGAATAGAGCCTCCTTCTGAAAACCAACACGAAAATATATCGTGTATTTATACAAATATTATAAAGAAAGATTTGTATTTTTGGATTTTTATTATTAAAAAGCTACATTATCAGCGAGTAATATAGACGGTTTTTTTTATTATTTTCTTAATTCCACATGGACGCAGTCGTGAGTAACAGCTGGTTTAAAATAAATTCAATTATGCAATTACAGAAATTCAGAAAGATAGATAAAGATTTGATACAAGTGGATAAGTTATTAACACAATATTTTATATTTTTTTAAATTTAAAACTCTTTAATGATATTTCATTATGTGTTCTTCCAGACTATGTTCTACATCTATGTCTCATCGAGATTTGTTCAAAAGTTTAGGCTACAAACTCTAACTAACATCCACTCATCTAAACTTTTGCATTAAAATATTAGTAAGATGTAGTTTTATCTTACTAATCTTACTTCTTACTAATATTATAAATGCGAAAGTTAAGATGGATGGATGGATGGATGGATAGATGGATGGATGTTTGTTAGCGTTTGTAGCCTAAACGGCTGAACGGATCTCTATGAAATTTGACACAGGTTTAGAGCATAGTCTGGAAGAACACATAGGCTACTTTTTATCCCGGGAATAGTTACGGTTACCGTGGGATTCATTAATTTAGTTTTTTAATGTTTACTCGATCATTCTGCAACGGTTAAACATATCGTATTGAAATTTGGCACAGATATAAAACAAAGTCTGGAGTACACATGGGACATGACATGGGATAAGCTTCATACCCGAGAAATGTCCGGTTCCCGAGGGATACGTAACTTTTTGTAATTCATATAGTTTGTATGTTTTCTAATACCACGCGGACGAAGTCGCGGGCGACAGCTCGTCTTTTAATAAATTGCACTTCTCCTGTACAAAGACACAACATATTCAGGGTCACGTCTAATATAAAATGAACTGTAATTTCGAAATAGAAAGAATATGTTTTAAAAAATAATAAACTAATTGTTACTCGCGACTTCATCCGGGTGAAATTAAAAATATAGCATGTCACTTACTAATAACGTAGCTTTTCAATAGTCTAAGGATTTTTGTAATCGGCTCAGTGGTTTTTGAGTTATTTAAATAATACAAAAATACAAATCTTTGCTCTTTATAATATTAGTATATATTAAAACATTACAATACCGCTTCGAATTTCCGCATTTGGCTCATTGGTCGTTTTACAGCTCTCATGTCCTTTGATTAAAATATAATTCAATAGTATTCGATAACAAAAACAATAAAAAACCATACAATACTGACATTTATACCAAGGGTTGTTTACACGTTGCCATGGTAACCAAGTGTAGTGATGACTCACGGTTTGTTAAAAAGGGGTTGACAAATACTGCCCTTACTATATCACTTTTAAACGGGCTACATTCGCCTAAAAAATGTAACTTATATACGAGATTTTTCATTATCTATTTTTAGACAACTTATTTAATTGAAACTGTCGCTTTAAACTCAGAGAACACTTCTTGTCAAGACCCAGGTTGCGCGCCAATCACAACACTAATAAAAATATGTTAGTATACTAATAGAATCTGTATTGATAAAATTTATAGTCCAGCCGTTAATAAAGTACCTAGTTATAGAATGAGGCGTGTGTTACGTGTACATAGAGTTACAATTTTTATAGAGGTGACATTCTGTATTTAGTTAATAAAAATTGTAATCATAAATGCCTAATAGGCCTTGTCAATTTATGACGTAGTCTGTATAACATGTAAATACTAAAACTCGTGGTTATATTTTATTTTCACTTGTAACATGTTGCTTGTAATCTTACTAATATTATAAATGCGGAAGTTTAGACAGATGGATGTTTGGAGAGTTTGTAGCCTAAACTGATTGAATGTAGAGCATAGTCTGACTAACTCACAGGCTAGTTAGTATTCGTGGGTCAATACCAGTTGTTTATCTTTGCAGAATTACGAACATCTAATGATAACCTCTAAGGCATTTACATTTTATTGTACTATTTTTTTTTGTTTTGACCTCTATTAGTGTACGTGGTTGTAGCTCCTGTTTCTACTATTTTATGAGGAGATTTGTTAACAAGCCGAGACAAGAACGTAGATTGTACGCATTCCGTCACGACAAATACGAAGCGTATACCAAATCACTCCCACTACTATCCTACTTTACAATATTGTGTCACGTGTTTGTAATACTATTGTTTTCTTTATTCATATACGAGCTGTTGCCCGCAACTTCGTCCGCGTGGTATTAGAAAACATACGAACTATATAGATTACAAAAAGCTACGTATCCCTCGGGAACCGGACATTTCTCGGGGATGAAGACGTTGCAGAATGATCGAGTAAACATTAAAAAACTATATTAATGAATCCCACGGGAGTCGTAACTATTCCCGGGATAAAAAGTAGCCTATGTGTTCTTCCCGACTATGCTCTTAACCTGTGCCAAATTTCATGGAGATCCGTTCAGCCGTTTAGGCTACAAACGCTAATAAACATCCATCCGTCTAAACTTTCGCATTTTATAATATTAGTAAGATTAGCGTACGCCCGATCTCCGTCCTCGTTGATTTAAAAAACAAAAGCAAGTAGCCTGTGTGTTCTTGACTATCCTCTACATCCATGCCATTCATTGAGATCCGTTCAGCAATTTAGGCTACAAATTCTAACAAACATCCATCCATCTAAACTTTCACATTATTACTCTACCTGTTTTGTTTGTCCGCTATCTTTTGATGGCTATCGAATTCAGATTCAGAAGACAAAATAATTCACATTTTCTATAAAGAGATTTCTCTAAAGCTCGTGTAAATCCTGTGCATTTAGCTAATTAAACATAATGCGAAAAGTTTTCAATGCAAAAAGCTCGTTAGCAAAGTTCTGCAGAAACTTTAACAATCCGTTATTCTACCTGGAGGCGTAACTTTCCCGTTATTGATTCAAAATAGAAAACCGACTCGAGTTTTGTAAATATTTCATCAATAAAAGATGTTCTCGTCGTCTTAAAATCCGGTTAAAACAAAAACTGATAACTTTAAACATTAGGGAAGATTCACAAAACAGTTTTTAAATCAAGTTTCACAATTAATACGGAAAATATCACAAACTATGAATTTACTGTGAATAATAACAAATGGAACTATAGAAATCTTGTAGCGTGTATATACAGCCTTATTCGCATCGCTCGCGATGTCTCCAGTTGTAATTGAAGCCATACCTCACGAGGTCGTTAACTACCTGATACCCGCCTGCCCGCCTTCCCGCCAAAGACGACAGCCAAGACGAACAATTACTAACAACCATGCAATTTAATTAAAATTGCAGCCAAAAGACTGCAAAATTCATTTCCTTTATTAAATAATCTTCCCTCTTACAAGTTTTTATATGATATAATTTTAATTTATACAAATTACACTCAAACCTTTATAAAATATACGAGCTGTTGCCCGCGACTTCGTCCGCGTGGTATTAGAAAACATAAGAACTATATAAATAACAAAAAGCTACGTATCCCTCGGGAACCGGACATTTCTCGGGTAACCTTATCCCATGTGTACTCCAGACTTAGTTTTATAGCTGTGCCAATTTTCAAAAGGATATGTTGAACCGTTGCAGAATGATAGAGTAAACATTAAAACTAAATGAATCCCACAGGAACCGTAACTATTCCCGGGATAAAAAGTAGCCTATGTGTTCCTTCAGACTATGCTCTAAACCTGTGCCAAATTTCATGGAGATCCGTTCAGCCGTTTAGGCTACAAACGCTAACAAACATCCATCCATCCATCCATCTAAACTTTCGCATTTATAATATAAGTAAGATTTGATCTGAAATATGTACAGTTAAGTACATAATACTAAGAGCTAGCGCACATCTTAGACTAAACTATTGGACAACTGTTGTGCGATTGTCGATTGTTTCGCAGCCAATTCAACTGTTTAGTTGCACAACTAAAAATCGAGTAATATCGCGCATATTTAAGCACTTAGGAATCATAGCGAGACTAAATAGTTTTGCGTTTAGTTTCAAGTTTGCTCACGCTCTAAAAGATTAGTTAACTTAATTTTACAAAATTAAATTAGTTACGGAAAGTAATATTTAACTAAATCCATACATACATATTATACGAGTCTTCAAGTATTTGGTGTGTGAAACCAATTTCCGTTAAAGGAAATCAAATCGGAACGCAGAAGTTGAAGACGACCGACGTCACCTTCCGCTCGAATGATGATTGGATTTGTACAAAAACCGATTATTTCGCGCCTTTTTTCGTCAATATACTATAAGAACTAACTATAATAGTTTAACTGTTTTAGAATGCTTAAGAGATTCCTTAGTTTAAGAAACATTAACACTAAGATTTAACGTTAGGTTTAGAATCTTATTTCATGTATATGATGGTTTTTGTTTTCCCGAAAAACATAACCTCTAAAGAACCTCTCTAGAACTTTCTATAAATCTGAGCATAGACTACATTTCCGAAGAGATACTAAAATTATGAATAAACGTAATTTGTGTATAAACAATTTAGTTATTTTTAAAACTATATACGCTGTAATGGATAACAGTACGCAGTAGTTTTATGTGTCGAACGGATGACGTTTTTGGCGGGAATAAAGTGCTATTTACGAGTTTTGGCGCGCGTCTGTCTCGCTGGTACAGATTATAAATATTACAAAAATAAAGCGATTATTTAATAACGCGTTCGGACGCGAGTGATTTTACGTAAAATGTTTTTTGGATAAAAGTTTCTTATATAATCTGATATTTACAAAAATGTAATCAAATCACATAATAAGTCACTGCTGTTTCGAAGTTAGAAAAGAAGCATTTAGCAATTAGTTTAATCTGTCTATCCTAAATACAATAAATCAGCATAAACTTTTTTTTTATATACAAGAAGGTGGCAAACGAGCAAGCGGCCACCTAATTCCGCCAAATTGGCGAAGCGACCGCTGCCCATAGACATCCGCAATTGCAAATGCGTTGCATACCTTACATCGACGGAGGAGGAGACGCACATAAAGAGGATATTTACCCTTTCTATGCGTCTCCTCCACCGTCAAATCCATTTTCCCATCCAATTCTTACCTTAAAAGGCAAAGGTGAAACGGGAAAGGGACTAAAATTGGGCCTTCGGCACGACACTCATCAGACGAAACGCGAAATTGCTTCCACTTCACGCCTGACTTCTGTGTGGTCGTGGTATTACACCGGGCGAGCCGATCCATTCGTGCGAAGATGTTCCAGCGGGCTCTGCCACTATTATCCACAACTACTTATCCTATTTGAAATTCTACTGTTATTTTATAATTTTTAAAAACTATAGATATTTTAAAAACATTTATTTTTACAAAACATAAATAGCAGTTACCGCAGAACGAATGTAAATTACGTTGGATTCAAAAAGACGAGGTGATTTATGAATAGCATAAACCTGAGGGTGTAATAAAAAAGTTATTCTGCAACACGTTTGTTATCGTTTAAAAATCGTTTAACGTAAATACGATCAATCAAGATTATACAAAAGTCATGGTTTATTTCTGAACCGCAGAATACAGACGTAAATCTACCTGCAACACTTTTATAGTAGTTTTCACATATCTTGGTTGCTTCAAAGTACACACCTATCAATGCGAGCACAATATTAGGTGTCGCGGTACAAACGCAACCTGCGTAATAGGAGGAAACACAACGCACTGATGACCTTGGTCCGCTAAGATATTCGAAAAGAACTTTACCAGAAATCGCGTAGGTAACGCATCTCCAACATTACAACTTACACCAAGAAATATATAAACTGTGCAAAAAAGAGTACGGACCGTTAGTCTGTAGATGTTGATTTTAAATAAAAAAACTTACACCAAGCGACTATACTCGTTTGCCATTTTCTAGCAAGTGTAGTGTTCTAGCAGGTGTAGTAGTACAGGGTGACAGCACAGGGCGCAGACCGAAAGTGGTGGCACAGGTCTGAGAATTACATAGTCTCACATCTTACCCGTTCTACAAATCATATAGTCGGACACTTGTGTACACAGATCTGCAAATTACACAGTGTATATCTGTGCTAAAAGGGTTCTGTATAAATCTCAACCAGGGCGTTAACATAGCTAAAACCGTGGTAGTGAATTATTGACGTCAAGTGTAAGTAATCAGGTTTCGGATGCATCTTTTTACGTGCTAGCCATTCACAGATGTGTACCCAAGAGTAATTAAATGTAATATTACAGGTAATTATGTAATCTTGAACTTGGTAGACGTAAGTCCTAGGTCTGAAGGGCAAGGGCGTCAGCTGTAACGTAATCAGCTTAGCTTGTAATCCACTTGCAAACACTTGACACTAAATTAAAACCATAACAGTGCGCGATGTTTTCACAAGAATAGACACAAAGCTTTTTTGCATTTATTTAATATCTTTGTTGTTTGGTGAAAACGTCTGAAATTGAGACAGTCCTACGGACGATTCACGCCTGTTACCCAAAGGAGAATGGCGCTTTTAATACCACACTTGTAATACATGAGTACTTTCGTCCACGACTTCGTCCGCGTGAAATTAAAAAAAAGTTAGTAGATTATGTGTTCTTCAAGACTATCATCTACATTCGAAATTTAATAGAGATCTGATAAGCAGTTTAGGCTACAAACTCTAAAAAACATCCATCCAACTAAACTTTCGCATTTATTAGTAAGAAGTAATATTTTACTACTCTGGACAATGTAAATCTATCAGAGATCTCTAAGCAATACTGTCAGTTACTTTCCCTTCATAAAATTAAATGCAATTGCAAGTATTAGTAAAGAAAATTTTATTAATAAAAATAAAACTAATATCACGGTTTACATAACACTGCGTAATTATTATCCTAATTAAAAATCTAGAACGCATAGCACTCTCCGTTGAAGGTCAGAAAAATGTACTTTATTTTTCATGTAACTTGTAATAAATCACACAATGCGAAATGTTTGACCAACATTGTGAGACATTGCTACCAACGTTGGCAGGATACGTCCAACATAGTGTGCTTGCATACTCGATGCGGAATGTTGTGTGCATTTCTACTTAAATGTAATTTAATGCGAAAACTATATAAATATTAACATGACGTGAATTTAAGACGGCAGTTGTATTTCATAAAATTCGGATTCCCTTATGATCTTAACGGCCTTAATCGTTTCTTAAATTACCTAGGTTTTTTTCTTTTTCTTCGCCATAAAAATCTATAGATTTGTTATTTTATTAATTTGAAATTCTAAAAAAACTAAAGCGCTACGAGAAATCGTAAGCGGTAATCTCGTAGCGCTTACGTGCCTACGTACTACGGCGTAGCGGTCGCAGTGCCGCAATGTAGCGGGGTGCGGTGAACGCGGGGCGCGGGGGGAGCGCTGCGGGCGAGGAGCCGAGGAGTTCCATCCAGCAGTCCAGTACAGACCAGCAGTCATGTCGCGCGCGTCGCACGCTGCACTCGTGTTTGTTGTAACTCTACTCGCCTCGCTCGTCGGTGAGTTGCAATTTTTTAAATTTTAACGCGATATTACAGTGTTTTTGACGTAATCTTTTTAATCATGTTTGTGAATTTGATGTTTTATTTATTGTGAAGTGATATTGAAATACAAATAAATTTATGATAGCTGTAATTTTTTCATGCAAAAAACCAGTACTAATTATAAGTTTTAATGATAATTTTATTTAAAAAATTAAGCACCTCGTATTTCAAGTTGTAAAAAAATTAAGCAGATTTAAATGGACACTTGACCTAATAAATCAAATAACATTAAATCCTCTTAACTCGCTTAGAAAGATAAATTCATTCACTTTAACAGTTTAGTAGCGACAGCAAATTAGGGATAAAAACATCGAAATACCTTTTCGCTTAACTGGGGTAGTGCTTATTTGTATATTATTTACCTAAGTCACGACGTACAAGGTATCATTGCAACATTGTAACTTATCATTATAAGAACAACAGAAAAATAATGTTTACAACGTCTGGGTAATCTGGTAAAACTGTGGACGTGTGGTGTTGTAACAATGGCAACTATAAAGTTCTAATAAAAACAAAATTCTAGCTTTGATTATTAGCGATTATTAACACTCTTACTAGTTCTAACAGCTAGTTTTAAATGTAATCCGTTAAATTATCTTATCTTTCTTAATATTATAAATGCGAAAGTTTAGATAGATGGATGTTTGTTAGAGTTTGTAGCCTAAACTGCTGAACACATCTCGATGAAATTTTGCATAGATGTAGATGATACTTTGGAAAATATATAGGCTACTTCTTTTTTTTTAATTTCACGCTGGCGCAATAACGGGGGTAAGCTAGTTGTTTATAATATAGTGACGTTGAACTCAGTATTATAATTAATTTTATTTTATTTATGTAAGTATTGAATTAACTTAATTGACATGCAAATATTGATATTTTATCACTTTCAAAAGCATATAAATTATAACTTTTTTTATATAAGACTTTTCACAAAAAAAATAACATCCTGTTTTTGATATAACGTTATGAAAACAAACATTGCTCTTATAATCATCGTTGGTAATAACTTACACTAACAAGTAACTGTCTGTTACAATTTCTTGTTAACCAGACAAATAATTAAAAACATTTCACAGCTGGTTTAACTATTTTTATAACCAAAAACAGCCTTTTAGTAGCTTGATGAAGAACGCCTTTTTAACCCTTCGCGGGGGATGTAAGGGGATGGGGGTATGTGCTGTTTCTTTGTGAAAAGTGTCGAGACGTGACTGCGGTTCCGCGGTCAATAGGGTTGCCTCTCGCAACACCGCACTGAATAAATAACATTTGAATATTGATATTTACAAACTGTACACATTTAAGTCTCTTTAATGAGGTAAATAATTAACTGAAATATATTGAATTCGGAGTTTATTAATAAGACGGTACATATAATTATAATTTTTTATAATACTTCATACTTATCACACTAATGTATAAACCGAAAAGTTTGTATGGATGGATGGATGTTAAAAGATATCTTAGTAACGGATCAACGGATCAGGATAAAATTTGGCACATATTATTAAAGAACACATAGGCTTAGTTTAGTTATAATTCCTAGTAGAAGATGGTAATTATAAAATCGTATTCGACAACCCTATCGCACGTGACAGGATGAGTCCTTCATTAGTCATGCAGATTGTATTTGTCCGGTGATTGAAACTTTTGTAGCAATGCGACATTTATACTGAAAATGCATTAGTTGTAACATTAGTAATAGTGCGGGCGCACACATTTGACTATTCTATCGCACATCGGTTGTCTATTGTTTCGCAGCCTCAACTTTTTAGTTGCACAAATAAAAATCGAGTAGTGTACCTCCATATACATACGTTGGAATCAAAGCAAGAGTAAACAGTTGTGCGATAGTTTAGTCCAAGTGCGCCCGCTATAAAGGTAAAGTAGACCATGAATACATCAAACGATTGTAAATTCTTACCTTGTGAGAAATATTGACAATCGCTGCATATTTTAAGACCGTACTTTCATTAATTTCCTTAAAACTCATTAAAAACACATGTATCTGTTTTACAAAGTTTGAAATTATTTCACAACTAGCTTTCGCCCGCGATTCCGACCGCGTGGAATTGAAAAAAACAAAAGTGAATAGCCTATGTGTTCTTCCAGACAATCTTCTAAGTCAATACCAAATTTCATCGAAATCCGTTCAGCAGTTTAGGCTACAAACTCTAACAAACATCCATCTATCTAAACTTTCACATTTATAATATTAGTATTAGTAAGATTAGTAAGAAGTAAGATGTCGTTTGTTTTTCAAATACATCGTCTAAGTTGAATTTTTTTGGGTTAAGTGCCTGACCCGGATGCGGGCTAAACAAAGCAAGATGGAAAGTATAGCGCGCCTTGTACTGTACCTAGGGTTGTCTGTTACAAGAAACTTCGTGATTAATATAAAAATTTAAAGTCCAAATTATTACTTTGTACACTAGCTTTCGCATGCGACCTCGTTTTCGTGGAAATAAAAACAAAACAAAAAGTGACATATGTGTTCTTCCAGACTGTAAATCTATGCAAAATTTCATCGAGATCCGTTAAGTAGTTTATTACAGAATTTGCAACTCTGACATACATACATCTAAACTTTCGTATTTATAACACTAGTAAGAGTTATTAATCGAGATTATTTCATGCCAAAATTAGATTCTTTTAATATTTATCTTTATTACATTATGTGTTAATATATATCCTATACGAATATAATAAAGCCTCAACACACACTTCTTTGTTGCCTAAGATGTCAACAATCACAGCATATTTTTGGATATTTCTTTTTTTAATACAAAGCCCTTCACTTATGTCACGTTTTAGGCTATATATTTTCACGCTATTAAACTTAGGGTGTAAATAAATTGGATAAAAACCCTAATGAGGGAAAGATCCCATAAGCTACGAGCTGCCAACATCAAAGAACCAAGGTTGTTATTTATTCATTTTAATGATATTTCACAAATGTAAACAATTAAATAAAGTTTTTATAATTTCTCGCAGATTCCGCACGGGAACAGCTAGTATTAAAATATGTTAGTTAAGTCTTCAGGGCTAACAGTTTATCTGCAGTTCCTTATGTTATGCGGATGGGAGTCGTTGACCTCTTAACACTTATGCCTAGTCACACCAGGATAGAACTAAATTAGTTACTAAACGTGTCTGAACAATGAACATCATCATCATCCACTTGCCCTTATCCCTGAACAATGAACATATAAAAGCATTTTAGTTACTAAATTACTCGATTAACCCGCCTCACTGGGAACTAGAGGTTGACAACTCATATTTCATCATCAAACATCTCATTTGTCCTATTTAGTTAAAATACACATTTCTTTTAAGTTTTGTAAATATCTTAGACTAGCTTCCGCCCGCGACTCCGACCGCGTGGAATAAAAATAATTAAAAGCGATTTGCCTATGTGTTCTTACAGACTATCCCCTACATCTATACGAAATTTCATTGAAATCCGTTCAGCCGTTATTGCTACAAATTCTAACAAACATCCATCCATCTAAACTTTCGCATTTATATTATTATGAATTATGATATAATATTTTTAGACGCTATGTAATATTAACATTGGTCGTAAATTAGACGGAAAATGACTATAAAGTCAAAAATATCGTTACCTGGCGAAACTAGTACGTATTATGCCACAAACAATACGCCATCAAAACAATACTGCACGTATTTCGGTGGCTTATGCGAGTCAGTTTGTGGTAGATTTGATACTCGTGCGTGAAATGTGGTTTTTATTGCTATCCCTTCGTTATTTCGATCCTTAAACATGAATAGATTTAAACTGATTATTTCTAATAATGGAATACTAAAATACATTGATTTTTAACTTAAAATAAATTTATCTGGTAGCATAACATTACCCTAAATGAGAATGGCCGAACAACCTTTTTCTCCAAGTCTTTCCAGGAATCATTGTAAAAGTTACATTATGAATGTAATGTCGGTCACTTAAACACTATCCTGGCTTACCCGTCTACGGACGAGGCCGAGATGGTGTTAAGTTGGCCGACATCTGTTTAAGAAAACAGTCAGTTAACTAAGTTTTGTTTGTTCAAGATTTATGGGGCGTTATCGTCGATTCGCGACAAAGCCCCCTGCAAAAATAAATACTAAAAACTACATTATGCTTCTGTGTTTACAAGAAAATCAATGACCATAAATTTTCCTATAATGTTATCTATTCTCGCACTTCAATGAGATTAATTTCTCTCACCCTGACCGTGAATGTCAATACTGTAGTCTTGTTGTCCCTATTATCTTCATAGAGTGGGAGAGAGATGAATGTGTTTGTATACATTCACTGATACGGTTTCTATTACGCAATATCTATTACTGTTCAATCATGCAAAATAATTTATAAACAATCTGCGTGTTGAGAGCACTCGGTATCTCCTACTTACTAATGCAAGAAAGCGTAAACACACTTCTTTGTTATGTCGGATGTCAGGAATCATGGCTTTCAAATAATTAATTTTAAATCGCATAACTGTTCAGTATCTCTTTGATTCCTATTGGTACTCGATTTTTAGTTGTGCAACTAAACAGTTGAATGGGCAGCAAAACAAGCGACAATTGCTCAATCGCATAACAATTGTGGGATAGGTTAGACAAAGGTGTGCGCCCGACCTTAGACGGTCAAGCCAAGGTCGACATGACAAATTTTCAGCCAATAGCAAGGGCCCTTATTGTCAATTGAGCATTTGATTTTTGACATTTTATGGATTAAAACAAACAGATGAAGCAGGAAATAGCTAGATTTTAAGTGAAATCTATACCATTATAATAAAGCGTAAACACACAATACTGTGTTACCTAAGATGTCAGCAATTACAGCATATCTTTGAATAATTATTTCTTTAATAAAAAAAGACCTACACTTACGTCACGCTTTAGGCTATATATTTTCACGCTATTAAACTTAGGGGGTAAATATTTTGCATAATAACCCTAATGTGGGAAAGAGACCATAAGTTGCTGCCAACATCAAGGAAGCAAGGTTGCCATGGTTTGTCATCGTCATGTCATTTTGACATTTTAATTGATAATGTGACACAAGTAAATAATAAAATAAAATTTTCATAATTTTATGCGGATGTCGCACAGGAACAGCTAGTCTTATTATAGGTATAGATTAAGTATGTACATAAATGTCCCTTTCTATTTAGTCGCTTAGCCTCCAGTGATCCATCTCAATGTCTAAAGCTGTCAAGTTGTATACGTTCTTTGGAAACTCACAAAGAGACAAAAACGAAGTAATTCGTATGATTTATTTGAATGTACTATTAATTACTGATGGCGTTTGTTTTACTTATATTTAGATTTCTTATTAAACATGTGTTCAGCTCTGGATTAGTTCAAAACTTCAGATCACTTAGACTTGAATTGAGCTACGGCTCAACGACTAAAGACAGCTCAACGTGATATGCAGATCGAAATGCAAATCATTTTTGTAATGCAGTTATAAAATGAGATGACCTGTGAGCCGATTCACTGACCATCACACGCGAACGGTAAACTGATCTGTAGATCATCAATTTTAGTTTACCCATGATAAATCACAGATTTTTTTAATAATTCAATGTAAAAATATGTATGAAGATATGATGCCAACGGTCAACGTGAAGGTAGAAGAGCACATAAATAGATTTTATTGTTGTTTAAAATAAACACGTCTGGTTAAGTGTAACCGCAACCTAATATTTTAGTGTCGCCCGATAAAAGCTATAAATACTACCACAGACGTCAAACTTCGCTAATAATACAAACAAAAGACGTAAACGATTGAATAATAAATGACCTATTAGAAGGTAAATAATTGACAATCGGTTTCAAAAATTACAGATCTGTGGCATCCATTTGTTTTCATAATTAAAATAGATTTTGTTTTTTTCAACCTAAATAGTTATTTTTGGTTCTTAAAACATCGACTTTTTTGATGTCAATTGAAATGTATTCAAATAGACTTAAGTTCTCATAGTGAGTTAGTCTTTGTTAAATATTTTTTGTTTGTGTACAGAGTGCATGCAGGAAGGCTGCACGGACTGGGAGGGCAAGCCGGTGGCTCATGGATTGTTATACGTGCCCGGCCCAGGCGCCTGCTCACTTTGCGTCTGTTACCACGCCGAGCCCATGTGGTGTAAAGCCATCTACTGCGACCCACCTTACGTAAGTAACACCTTCATAATAAAAAACTATAACTTAAACATAGGGGTAGGGTCTTTAGAGAGTACGCGTTAGTGACTATGTACTCCAATTTTGAAATCCTCCACGTCACACTTTAACGTCAGTCTTTTGATGTTTTCTAAAGAGATCTAACTTTCGAAACTGCATGTGAGTGTCTGTAGAAGGTTTATTACTTCACATTTAATGGCGTACATAAGTGTAAATTGGGTAAGGCGATAGCTCGTCTCCAAATTAAATGTACTATTATATTCTCTTTAATCTCCTACTCTTCTCTTGTTAGAAAGAAAAAGAGTTAAAACAGCAGTGTTATTGAATAACTCTAAATAGGTCCAAGGCCTCTTACCGAAGCAAAGTTATTGAATTTGCAGTAATACTATTTTTAGCAGCGCTCACTATGAAGGTAATCAATTATTAACGTATAGCAGAGGCATGTCGGTAAAGTATCTCAAGGCCTTTAATATCGAGCGCTTGAAAGGACCAATTGTCCTACTTCGGAAACCGATATACAAGTGATATTTTACACAGCTTGCAGTAAGCTAACGCCTGGTTCACACTTGGCTAGAACGTTTAATCAGTAGTGTCCAATCTTCCATACTTATCGACTGGAAAGCCATCCGATTTGTTTGTATACTTTTCTTTTTTTAACAGTTCTGTAAAAACTTCCGCGTTGGCGAGCGCTGTTGTGAGTTCGAATGTCTGGATCCCCCGGGCGAAGACACACGCTATCGGGAACGGCAGCGGCTGCGCGCACTCATCCTGGCAGGCAACTCCTCGGCCGTCCAGCTCAGACCCTCGCTTAGGATCCGAGCTGGTATCTCCCTGCTGGCAGTCGCCGTCGCCAGATTAGTTTGAGAAAAGGATCTTTGAAAGTATGAAAATGTAACGACAATAAATGTCATATATGTGAATGTGCAAATCACCGTTGAAATTAACTATTTGAATTTATCAGACTATTTTCGATTTTGAGGTTAAGTTTTTGTTTAAAAAGAAAACTAAAAATTAATACATACATTTCTTCAGTTTTTAAATCGGAAATATAAAAGTTGAAAGAAATTTAAATGTTCTGTGTAGCTAAATAAAAATGGCCGACCAAAAGCGGACGGATATTGTGACCATAGACGAATTTATCTACAATACCGTTAGACTAGTCGATGTGGTTCGTTAAATGGTCTTCAATGTAAATAGTATATAATTTCCCTCGTACATTCAATAAATTCCAATTGCCAAATTTCCTCTAATACCACTTTACCTCTTGCTAAGTCAAATCTATTTAATAAAACACTTATTCAGAATTATTGTATATGCAAATATTTCTCCAGACAAAATAGCTTTTACCTTTTGCATGCATTCGTAATTTTACGTAAAACATTCTTAATTAAATAAAAAAAAACACTTAATTCCTAATCACTTAATTCAACAGTTTGATGAAAATTCTATTTTTACTGAAAATCGATACAATAAATCACTGTCCAAATATTACTAATAAATAATTATAAAACGTAAATTTAAATAGTATTTAAAATAAGTTTATTCTAATATTTGCTGAAAAACTACCGTTTATTTCTATTTATTTCGACTTGCAACACTGTATTTGCCGCCATTTTGTGACATTATTTAAATGATTTAATTCCCCGCGTTAGGTCCCGCGTTATGAATTCTTCACAGATAATAAATAAGATATTATTAATAAAATTTTGGACCAATTTTATGTAACCCAGTAGCCAATATGATTATTTCCGGATGAATTCAATATGACAAGAAAATTTATTTAATTATTTATTTATTACAAATGTTATTTATCGTAAGAATATAAATATTTTCAATTTAATATTAGAAAGATATCATACAAAAAGTCAAAATTAACTCATAGAGTACTTAAAAAAAAGTAATTAAAACAGCTTACAAAAATGATTAGACATGACTTTAAATATAATGGGCCTGCTAAGATTCAGTACTAAAAGATAGTAAAAAATTGTAGCATTGTGCTTTCTACACAAACAACAACATCCATTAGGCGATTACGTCGACATTTTGGTTTCAAAAAGTTGTCTATGCCAAAAATATAACATATTTCCGGTACTCTTGTACTTCACTTTATTAGTACTAATCGTAGAATATTAATTAATTTACACAAGATGTCCAAATAATTAAATAGTTAGACACATTTCAAATTATAGCTTTAATTACTAGATCATATCATCGGCTATTTAGAACTTAATGTAGTGCAAACACTATTAGCACTGACTTATATTCTATGGACAGGCTATAAGCTATGGTATTTTGTGCCTAATTGGTTTAGTGATGTTGGAATCTCGAACTAGTAGGGGCGTGCACACATTTGTAACTAAACAATCGCACAACTGTTGTGATTGTCGATTGTTTCACAGCAAATTCAACTGTTTAGTTGCACAACTAAAAATCAAGTAGCGTATCCTCCGTATAAGCTCATAGAAATCATACCGCGACTAAACAGTTGTACTATATTTTAATTTCAAATGTGCGCACGCTCTTATAAGAGATGGAATTATCTAACAGTAATCCACGAGCCCTTTTAAGTCGGCACAAAACAAAAGCTGTCAGTTCCAATTAACGACCTGTCCTTATATCTACAGATATCAGTGTATATTAAAATTATTAAAATAATATTTACACTTCTATGTATACACGAGAACTTTATTGTTATTATAAAATTAACAGACACAAAATAATTATTTACTTTCACTATGTCTTCTTATGATCTTCTAATAATTCTTCACGTAAATAAGATGTAAATAATCTATGTCACTTATGGCCTATTGATTAATTATTAATTTATGTTCTACGTATCCCTTATTTAAAAAAATGTATTTAAAATTTAAAAAATATACTAATACATTTCATGTTTAAAAATTTATAGAAAAATCTATTGCTTCTAAGGTATTTAAAAACATTGTATAAGATATTACAATTATATGTCACAAATAATTAATTGTGATAATTTACTGGTTATTATACTTTGCATGTTTTGTATTTAACAAGTCCCAGCTTTAAAGTCAGTTATGTTACGCTTCGTTGTAAAATGTTCACGTCGAGTATTTTTGCTGTCAGTACGCAGTTACGGGGAAACCAGCGAACACAGTCAATTGGTGGATAGCGTCGTAATATACCGCGTAACATTGGTCATTAGACAGTTCTTTTTTCAAACATTACGAAATAGATGTCAATTTTGGTTGTCATACAAGTACAATAATGGAGAGATTTTTTTGTTAAACTAAGGATTTTTGTTAAATTAAATTCAATTATCACAAATGTGTATGCAATGCGTTTAAAATTGGAATGTGTATAATTTGAAAAACAGATTAAAAAACGAACATTTTAAAGCCATGTTTTTTAATCTGTAGATTCAAAGAATAATGACGCATCTTTTTTTGTTATCCATTTAAAACGTAACTACTGTTTTCATTATTATTTAATCTATAATTTGTGTAAATTCAAATAACTTTAAAAATGCGTAATAACAGTTTTTATTGTCATCCTGTTTAATATTAATTTATCAAATCAATTATATTTTTTAATATTATAACTAAAATAAACTTTTAAGCAAATAATTATTTATAACTAGCTCAATTAAATACTAGTCCAATATAAAAGTTTGTTTTATTACTACCTCAAAATTTTAAATAATTTACTTTTGATTGTTTTGACCTAAGAAACACTACAAAACTTGAATAGTGTACACTAATTTGTGAATTAAGTACATAATCTACAATTAAATCTACACTAAGCGATTACTTAACCAAACCAACTCTGATTGCAGCAGTATCATAAAAGGTAACATTGAGCTTATTAAAGCTATGTAAAATAAAGAAATAAAAGACATAATTATTCAATACGAAAGAAATTTAAATTGTATATAATTAGCTGTAATTGTACACGCAAACATTCGTGACTGGCAGTGTACAGTCGCGCACGCAACGCTCTAGTCAAAGTCGTTAAGTTGTCCACCTTTTTATCCTTTGCCCGCAACATTTAACCTGCAAAGATTTTTAAAACTTTGAAAATCTTGATTTATGTGTCACCCTTTACTCTGTAAATGTTTAGCTGTCCATTTAACTGTCCACAAATAGGCAATTTTTATACAATTCTTTTTGTCTTTTAGATCCGAAAGCATCCCGTTAACGTTATCGTAATTCATCCGTGTAATAAATCAAAAACACGCCTTTGAATGATCACAAATGAGTAAAAATGGTCCATTAATTTTTCACTGCCCAAACCTTCCTTTCACTCTATTGTTCCACTTTATTCGGCGATTGTTTATGGATTGGAAGACCCATTTTTATAAAGCTTCGTATTAAATCATCACTAATTTCTAAAGAATTAATTTACCAGTCAATATAATAATAGATTTATATACATTATTCTTATTTTGATTTACAGTAGCATACTTAAAAATGTAATCACAGCCATTCTTTTCTATACTAATATTATAAAGAGGAAAGATTTGTATTTTTATATATATTGAAATAACTTTCAAACAACTTGGCCGATTCTATTAAATTCTTTCGACGTTAGAAAGCTAATTTATCTGCGAGTAACATAGGCTAGGCTATATCTTGTATTTCATAAACTGTTCAAGAAGTTTCAACTTCGTTGAGTAAAACGGAACTTTTATGTACCAACAATGTTGAAAAACAATTAATAATATTGAGTTTTGAAAAGTTATTTAGATATCTAGGATGAAATTCAAAGATATGTGTAAAGTTAACACGCACTCGGCTAGCGTGGTTGGCTATGAAGTCGCCCCTAAATTATGTTAGGCTCGAAGTCTCTCAGTGGTAGGTGCTGGTGAACTGATATATTGTGATTTACGATTACTCACGTAATAATACTGATAGTAAGAGATATTTAATGTCAACTAAAGTTAAGGTTACATGTAATTAGTCGCGTAAGCATTTGAATTTATCCGTAAGCATTTAACTTTTCACTTTAATGTTTTCAAGTACGTCATTAAAAAAATAGCTTCAACGAGCGCTCGTGAAGTTAACAGCTTGAAATATCAGTGGCTCATTACAATGGAAATGTTTGCAGAACGAGATTCTCGCTGCAAAATTTGCATATTTATAAATCTATTTTCGCAAATTGTTAGCTGTAACAAGCGAAATGCTCATGTTTATTTATTACGTCAATTAATTAAAAGCAACGATTTATTTTATTATAACCCCAATGTCACTAATTTAATTTCTTTCTAATTCTGGCTAATATTAAAATGCAAAAGTTCATCTGGCTGGACAACCATTTCTATTTTAGTCACTGGAAAAGAACAAGTAAAAAAAAAAACATTTTCCGTATGCATTACATTTGCGTAAAACAGAACGTAATCCAGAACATTGTGAATCAAAAGAGATAAGTTGCGCTTTAAAACACCGCTTGTGCGACATTTTCCGCCTTTCAGTGCTTTTGGAACGCCGAGGTTGCTTTTTATCGCCAGACATTTGCTGAATAGATTGAAAGAGCCCTTTTATAAAGTAAAATCCCCTTTTTCATTTAACTTTTCGGCTTAAGAGTTATAAATACATTTTGTTTATATTCACAGACACGAATGTTTCATAGACCTTCTTGTAATTTACATGATTTTTCTAGTTTTTAATTTTGATAAATTCTATTTACCTGAAATTTATATTTAGTTCCAGATTCGCAAATGAGACACCATTTCATTTAAAATTTAAAAAAACAAATAGTTTATTTCAATGCACCAATTCCAGTGTTTTTATTGTAGTATGTTGCCAAAATGAGGGGTAAACAAAGTTATAAGAAAGACTTCAAGATAAAATACTTCATCATTTCTGTTACAAAAAGGTTTTATAGAGTTTTGATTTATTTTCAGGCTACTAAGGGTGAATAAAAATACATTAATGAGATTTATAAAAATTATTTACTTCTTAAATAACAATAACATAAGTTAGGAATGATAATATTCTACCATCTCAAGCCCCGATCATGCAAATCCTTCTTTGCTTCCAAAATTTCAGCTTGAAGCTCTTTAGCTGCATCTTCACAATTATTAAATGTTAATACTCTGAAAAGTACAACCAGAACTGCATACAATCCAAACAGTATTATAAATATTATCGGTGATATTATAATAAAGTTCATGTTCTGTTCAATAAATGGATGTTTAACATAACCTCCAATTAATGAATACCACACAGCAAATGCCGCTGAAGTCACCGATATCCATTCTAATAGTTTTGTCATGGTTCTGAAACAAACACAATATTTGTAAAAAAAAAAACAAAGAATACTAACACTCGAGTCATTTAACTTCGAATAGTATACTTCAGTATATATTTAAACCCGGTTTATTATGCAGAATTTATATTCCTTACCTTTCCTGATCGTCATAGAACACAAAAATAAAATGCTATTATGAAATGTAAATTACGGAGAGTTTTTAATAATTTCGATTATGATAAATAATTTGACATTGACATGTTTTGGAATCTGTCATGTGTGTTATGTCATACGTCACAACATGAAAACAGATAATTAATTTATAGCCGTGCAAAAAATGCTGAAAATCTAGGGTAAGCCCAGGCTATGAATTATGAATATTACGTTGGATGTTGATATTTTTTTGTGTTTTTTACTTATTCATACTCAATTAAAACGGAGAAAAAAGTTTAAAAACGTGTTTTCAGATATTGACGTGTTATGGTGCTCTGACAAACTGACAATGTCAATGTGAGTTGTCAACTGATTTTGACGTTTTTCTTGTAAACTAAACAAATTCGATTTGTTTTGATTGCAAAAAATTAAGTAAATCAAGAACACTGTGGTTAATTTATCATTATTATTTATTCCAGTAGACATGAATGAAATAGATGATAAGTTTTACTACGTCTACAGTTCATCTTTGGACCATAAAGTAGAGATCAAAATGTAAGTGCTTTTATTGTATAGAAATCGCATTTTTTGTCTTTTCATTGTTGCTTCATATACTCCGATCAATGTCTCCAATGTAAATCTACGCTTTCAGTTCACTTAGTTTAGCATGTATATTCTAATGTCCTTTAATTCTTGTATCACAGTGGCACCTTAGAAGGGAAAAGAGCAAAGCCTGAATATGATAAATTACTCTCGGATCCTATGCTCAAGTTCTCCGGCCTGTACCAAGAGGGATGTTCAGATCTGTATGTCACTTGCCAAGTATTGTGTGACGGACTACCCCTTGCGCTGCCAGTTACTACATCATACAAAGCATTTACCAACCGATGGAAGTAAGATTTTTTATTTTTTTCTTAAAATCGAATGAGTTGTATTTTTACTGTATTTAGCACAGTTTTGATTTATTGCCTTAGTTATTAGTCTTAAATAACTCAACTGGTTTTTATAAGAGAAGAGACAAGAATGTCAGAAACTCCAGGGTTATTACCAGTGCCTAAGGACTGCATATACATTGCCAACTTAAACAAAAAAGTCTGAAGTGCTAATAAATACTATTCTTTGGTGATTTTTTAATGTCTTGTTAAATTCTTTGTGTTAATTATGTATTTTTTTACAGTTGGAATGAATGGATAACACTGCCAGTGTTTTTCAGTGATCTGCCGAGAAATGCTATTCTTGCTATGACAATATATGACTGTGCTGGTCCAGGCAAGGTGATGATAGTTGGAGGAACCACTATATCATTGTTTGGCAAACATGGAATGTTACGACAGGTATGATTATTTCATCACCATCACCTATCTTTTCTAGATTGACTATCATCCATTATTTCACTCATCACTCCCTTATTAATCTTAAAAATGTTATACATATATGTTATACTTGTCTATTTGAAAAGTTTAATTTTTTGTACAATTTTACTTATAAACTAGGTGTTGCCCGCGATTTTATCCGTGCAATATTAAAATAAAAAAGTAGACTGTAATATAACTGTTTATGTCAGCTACTCATCAGTACAGTCGAAATCGGCTCAGCCATTTCGAATATCCGGAACATACTTGTGGACAGACAGACAAGAAAAATTAAAAGAGATTTTTGTCAGCATCAATGCATATACATCATTATCCCGAAATCTGAATTTTTTCTTTTGATATTACAAACAGACACTTCAATTTTATTTGTGTATAGATGTAGATAATAGTAGTGTGCAAACTTACTGCCACATTTTGAAGTTAAAATTTTGATGAAATTTGGCATAGATTTAGACAATGTCAGAAAAGAAAACATGGGCTTTTGTTTTTTTTATTCCAACGCGGACGGAATCGCGAGCGAATGCTATAGACTTTGTTTTTGTGTTAAATAGTTAATAAATACAACGATTTCATTGTTTATGTTAAGTTAATGTGAGGTCGAAAGTTACGTATGTTGACTTCGATATGAATAATATTTATGGCAATTAATTTCCAACGACCCCACCGACATGTTATCTATATTCCAGAATACTCTCAGTACAATTTACTCGTCCACAGATCACACATCGCTTTTTTATTTTTAAATCGCTCATTTGTCTTTCCAACCAGTGTTATATTTTTAATTTTAAAATGTCCATTAAAATATCTTCTGATTTTATTTCGAAAATAATTTACAAGACTTTACGTGTTGAGAAATATAAATATTTTTAATAATAACTGGACTTTAGTCTTTAAAAATTCGTAGTGTTCTTTTTTAGTGTTATCATTTAATATCACAGTTTTTTTTTTAATTGAGGCAAAGATTTTTATATACTCCAGCTAGAAAGAAAAGACAAAGGTTTTCATCATTCATCCAAGACAAAAATAAGGCAGATTACATCATTCAGCCAATGAAATAAAAAAATAAAAGCAAACCCATACATTCAGCCAGTTAACATTTTTCGGCCAGCCATTCAAAATGGGAAACTCTTTGAGCGCATTATCTGTGTGTAAAAAGTGCTATTTGAATTTAGTTCGTCGATTCAAAAAGTTTCGTTTTATTACAAAGGGTATGTTTGACCTCCGCGTATGGCCGGGCGTAGAGGGCAGCGAGAGGACGCCAGGGAAAGCGCCCGATCGGGGTAAAGAACAAATGCAGAAATTGGCCAAACTTGCTAAGAAACATAGGAATGGACATATGCCTAAAGTAAGTGAAAAAAAACAAATACGAATTTGTTACCTATATCGTATACTAGCTATTTCCGTGCGGCTTTACTTACTGCGTTGACGCAGCGACCCAAAGTGGGCCTTGGCCTAAAACACGAGAGAACTTTATTCGTTCGAAATTATAAATATTTTGTTTTGTGTATATTCGTAAACTTTCAATTGCTTTCAACTTGCGAACCTTCAAGGATTTTGACATTAGCTAACAGTTATCGTTAACATGGCAATCTTGCTTCTTTAATGCTATTGATTTTAACTTTTTGTCTCTTTCCTGTATGACAATATTTCCAAATTAGTTACCCTCTAAGTTTAATGGCTTGAAAATATATAGCCTAAAACGTATCGAAAGTGTAGGGCTATTTATTAAAGTAAGCATTATTCAAAAATATGCAGTGATACCTGACATCTTACGTGACAAAGAAATGTGTTTACAATATTAGTATAGAATGTAGATGATGTTTTTTTTTTGTTTTTTCAAGGTGGATTGGTTAGATAGATTGACATTCAGAGAGATAGAAATGATCAACGAGAAAGAAAAACGTAGTTCGGATTACATGTACCTCATGATAGAGTTCCCCACAGTACAGATTGATGGCATCAACGTAAGTAGAGGTTATCGGACGCATTTTGACTAAAGTGTCGCACAACTGTTGTGGTTGTCGATTGTTTCGCAATTCAACTGTTTAGTTGCACAACAAATCGAGTAGTGTAACCTCAATATAAGCTTAAAAGAATCAAATCAAGACTCAGTTGTGCGATATTTTAATCAAAGATGTGGGTACGCATAAACATTTTTAAACATTTTTTTGCTGCAATCTTTTAGATTAACAAAAGATCGATTTTCTATCTTTAAAATTATATGTCATTTTCTGTTTATTATACTAGCTTTCGCTCGCGACTCCGTTAGCGTGGAATTAATAAAAAAACAAAAGTATGTAACCTATGTGTTCTTCCAGACTATCCTCTGCATCCACACCAAATTTCATCAAAATCCGGTCAGCCGTTTAGACTACAAACTCTAACAAACATCCATCTAACTTTTATTTATAATATTAGTAATATTATTAAGATTGTATTATTTTATATGAAGAAAAATAATATATTCTTTAGCACGCGGTTGTATACTACGAGCAAGATGGGGATGAAATGTACCAGTTCAGAGCTCAGGCTGAGATCGTCACTGTACCCGATTATGAAATTTTACAGGTAAACTTATTAGTACATTAGTGTATTTTACTGGATTTCATGTATATTCTGTAATTCATTATTATAAAATAACAATTACTCTCTAAGATAACGAAGGATTGTGTAAAAAAGGATATCCGTAAGATAATAAATTCAGATAAATCTATAGAGATGTATGGAAAAGTACAGTCAACTACAAAATATATATTTTTCGCAATGTAATTGTAACAACGTAATTTGGACTGAGTAGTAACCCCGCCAGAATGGCGCGATATTCTGATACGTTTGAATGACATTGACAGCTGTCATAGAGCCGGAATGTCTATGCCACTGTTCTAGTGTTGCCCGATTTCCTACGGAACATTACTTATATAATTTTTAAGAGCTGTTTTTACATTTGTCTGTATATTGTGCTATTACGGGAAAAGTTTGAAGTTGATGTTAGATTAGGTCAATTTGTCCTAGTAATTGTTAATTATAGGTCATTATGTAAAAAAAATAATTACGGATATTTTGAACGAAAATTTATTGTATATATAAAGCAAACATTACGGCATAAATAGACCTCGTCACTGGAGGGGGCTTTCTGGATTAGCCAGGGCTTTAGTTTTTTTTTTTAAATGACGTGAGGCTGGTACACCAGGAGAACCTGGTGGAGAGCAAGCAGCACCGGCTGGCGCGCTGTGTGCGCGGCGCGTGGGGCCGCGAGGCCAAGCCCACCGCCCGCGAGCGCGACCATCTCGCCGCGCTCGTCGCCGCGCCGCCGCGCCGCGCGCTCGCCGCCGACGACCAAGACCTCGTCTGGAAGTACCGGTATACCACCCACCCTGACATTAAGGGGAAACAGACGAATCTAATGACACTTCAATCGTTTAAATCGGTCTATTAGTTTAGGAGCTATGCCGTAACAATTCTGTATATTTCTATTAGACTAAACCTTTTGCTATAGGCTGAGACTTAGCAATCTTGACCCTGCTTGCTATTGGTTTGCAGTTTTTGTTCCTTTCTCGCAGAGAAGTTTATACAAATTTATAACCTAAATCGTAGTGATTAGTGTTAGGGGTTTTTACAAAGGTATAATGCAAAAATATGCAGTTTCCTGACATTCTAAATAATAAAGAAGTATGAAAGGATTTTTTTTGTTCTTGTATGTAATGAGTAAACTCAAAAACTATTTTACTAACTTCAAAAATTCTTTAACTATCGAAAAACTAAATTATCAATGATTGTCATAGACTATATTTATTTTTTTAATTCCGTGCGGTTAAAGTCGCAGGGTAAAGTTAGTATGTTTGTTTTTTAGTTTCTACCTATCGTCGCATCGCCGCGCGCTCACAAAATTCTTAGAGTGCGTTAACTGGAATAGACCCGGTGAGTTACATCACTTGGACTTTCACATTTTTTATATTAAAATTCTTCTGGTTTTTTTATTTAATTGACTTATGACGTAACTGATCTTTCAAATAGCAAACTGAACACTTCAAACAGACGCTTGTCGTTGTCTACTTTTAAATGTAGTTTAATCGTTACTTAAGTGATCCACTAAGTTTAGTTTTGTGTTTAGCGGAGGTGCGCCAGGCGCTGGCAATGATGAAGCAGTGGGCGCCCATGGATGTAGAGGATGCACTGGAACTCCTCACGCCTAAGTTCACGCACCCAGCAGTCAGGAGGTTAGTACAGTCGTACATAAGTGGTGTTAATTGTACACTCGTTTACACAAATGTTAATAATACACATACACTCGCATACACAATTGATAATGCATCAAATGTACAATCGCAAACTCGCATACACAACTGATAGCGTTAAAAATGTACATTCGCATATAAAAATGTTAATGTTCTATGTGTACACTCGCATACACAAATAAATGTGTTACATATGACAATTAGTATTCACAAATGGTAATATTAAACCTATACAGTCACTTACACAAATGTTAATGTTACAAATTTATACTCGCATAAACATAGCTGTGTTACATACACTCGCAGACATAAATGGTATTGTTACACTTATACACTTGTCTACACAAATTTTAATGTTACACATGTACACTCGCGTAAATAAACGGTAATGTTACACTTATACCCACGCAGAAGTGGTAATAATGTAATGAACAGTCAAATCCACATACTATAATGTTACACATGTACACTTCTGTACATAAAAGGTACACTAGCGTTGACTTTGGGTAAATAATAAAATGTACTCGTAATCACAAAAATGACACAAAAAGACAAGTTTATAATAAGGAACAGTCGTGCGGAAAAGTGAAGTTGAAACGAAAATACATTCGTGTACACAAGTTTTTGTTTAACTACACGGTTGAACGGCTGCATGTATTCGCCAAAAAGGCGAAGCGACGGTTGTCAAAGACTTAATGGAGGAAGAGACATAAAGAAGATATTCCCTTATGTAAACGTGTTAAGACTTTGACGTCGACGTTAGGTACGCGATCTCCCGACTGCGGCAGGCTCCTGATGAGGACCTGCTGCTGTACCTGCTGCAGCTGGTGCAGGCCCTCAAGTACGAGGACTTCGCAGAGATACACAGCGGTACTAACCTCACTCACTAATCAATACATCTTTGTTAACTAACGTGAAATTTAAAAAATAATAAAAAAACCTATGTTACTTAGCGATAACGAATTTTTTAAATCGTCCCACTAGTTTTTGAGTTATTTCAATACGTATAAAAATCCAATTAGTACATAGACAAGCTTTTGTCCGCATGGAATTTACAAAAGAAAAAAGTAGCCTATGTTCTTGCAGAATCTCTACATCTATGCCATTCATCGAGGTCCGTTCAGCAGTTTAGGCTACAAACTAACAAACATCTATTTCAGATTTTATGTACATTTATATTACAAAAATCATGATTACACATATCAGCGAATTTCAAAGATATGTGAATCAACCCTTAGTGTCAACTATGTCCTAATCAACCCTGACTTAGGGTTTCCAAGGCCTTTTGTGATAAAATGAGGTGATTTCTTAGAGTACTTGCGCGTGTGCGGCAAAGACGCGGTGCTGGCGGAGTGCGAAGGTCTCATGCAGAGCACGCGACAGAACCCTACAGCATCAGGTTTATTTATTTATTTTATTTTATAAGATAGCAAACCAGCAAGTGATAACCAGAGTCCGCCAAAATGGCGAAGTGACTGTCCATAGATATCCGAATTCGCTAAATTTTATATCATTAGGTGGCAAACGAGCAAGCAGCCACATGAATTCGCCGAGAAAGCGAAACGAACGATGCCCTTATACATCCGCAATAGCAGATGAGTTGCCTTAATCGACGGAGACAGATAAAGTGGATATTTCCTCTTCCTATGTGTCACTTCTACCGTCAAATCCACTTTTCCTTCCGATCCCATCCTTTTATGAAAAGGATGGGACGTGAACAGGGATAAAATTAGGCCTCCGGTACCCACTTTACGCCTGTCTTCTGTGTGGTCGTGATATTGCAAACAAGCCCTACACTGCTAACATGTTAAAGCTGACTACCATTATTAAAATTATTTATTATAATTCTATAAATTATGTACCCACAGTACTGACGTCCAGTGACATGACAGCTTCTACCACAAGCAGACAGTCAAACGAACCTCCAGAAGAATCTACTTCACATGAAGACCCCTTTAAGTAAGTCAATTTTTTTTTAGATAATATCTAGCTCTTTTATATATCCGACTCGAAGGACCATTACGATGATTGGGATTATTCCCAACCGTTACGCCTCTGTCCCCACGTGAGAATAAAATGATTCATCCGTCCAACCTTTTAGTCCCACTATCACCAATAAGGTGACAGATGGAATCGTTAAGAAATGAAATAGGTTCCAACCGTCCCCTCGTCACAAAAAGTGGGACGGATGAAACTTTTTATTCTAGTCTGTCTCCACGTGGGGACAGAGTGAGGTGACGGTTAGGAATAATCGTAATTGTTAGTTTTTAACGATTTTGTACTTAATCTTTACTTAATTTGTCGGTTAATGTATTTTAAATGCAGTACACAATTTTCTCATGTAAAAAATGCTGATTAAGTATATTTCTATGAGTAATGTAATTTATTTTCTTTAAGTAAAACGTTTTAATTGACACTCGAATATTTTTTTTTGTACATTATAGTTTGTCTAAATAAGATAGATTAGTTTGATAAATGACGCATATGAAGTATCGAATTCAATTTGTATGAAGGCAATGCCGTACTTAATAGACACGTATCGTAGTGACGAAACATACACACACAGAAAACAGGCGTGAAGTGGAAGCAATTCCACGTTTCGTCTGATGAGTGTGGTGCCGGAGGCCTAATTTTAGTCCCTTTCCCTATCCACCCTTTCTATAATAGGAAACAATGGGAAGGAAAAGAGGATTTGACGGTGGAGGAGACGCATAGGAAGGAGAAAATCTCCTCTTTATATGCGTCTCCTCCGTCAATGAAGGGTAGGCAACGCATCTGCAATTGCGGATGTTTATGTGCAGAGGTCGCTTTCCATTTCGGTGGATTCAGGCCGCTTGCGAGTTTGTCACCTTATATTATAAAAAAAAAACACACAGCGCACAATTATGAACTATCGATGTTGGATTTAAATAATTATCGAACTCAAATAAAATTACTATTTTATTAACTATTCTAGTATTAATTGTACTATAGAGAATTAACAATGACAATAATAATAGCGAAAACCAATTCGATTTCGTACGGCTGTAGTAATGAACATTTATTTACTCTCATTTTTTGTAATGGTTCTGCATTTTATTAATTTGAGAAAAGTATTTTTTTTAATACATAAGTTATAACTATGAGTCTATCGATTACAACTTCTATAGAATAAAATTCGTAAATCGATAACATAACATAACCCATCCCTACAAAAACTAATCAATCTTTTTAGACACATAAAGGTATTATTGTATGAATATGTTAGTTTGAACTTGTCGTTTCCTATTGTACGGAAGGTGTGATGAGGGTTTGGGGGAGGGTGCGGGCGAGGGCGAGGGCGAGGGTGGGGGTGAGTCGTGCAGCCTGGCGGGGTTCCTGATAGGGCGCGCGTGCGGGGACGCGGTGGTGGCCAACTACCTCTACTGGTACCTCCTCATCGAGTGCGAGGACGCGGAGTGCGGCGCGCCGCGGCCCCCCAGACACATGTACCTCAGTGTTATGAAGACGTTCTCACAGCGATTGGCTAAAGGTATTTAAAATTGGACCAGAATTTCAGGAGGGGGGGGGTCTTGAACTAATAACTGTACTTTGGTGATGCAATTTTTTAAATTACAGTCCGTCTTTGTACTGATTACCGTGTTTTGGGATGGCCTTCTTTTAAATATTATAAACTAGCTTTTGCCCGCGACTCCATCCGCGTGGTATTGAAGAATAACAGAAGTGAATTTCCTATGTGTTCTTACAGTCTGTCCTCTACGTCTGTACAAAATTTCATCGAAATCCGTTCAGCAGTTTAGGCTGCAAACTCTAATAAACATTTATCCATCTAAACTTTCGTATTTATAATATTAATAAGATAAAAGTTAATTAGTGTGTATTACTAAAAGGTGAATACAGTCTGCCACTATTTTACATATGTACACATTTTATGATGTTAAATATACACTAAAGATTCCAACATGTAGTTCTCTGGGATCCACGAAAGTGAGATAAAATTAAACATTCTCAAATTAAAAGTATACATTTCTTTAACTAGGGTAATAACATCTTCGAAATAACTTGAGAATCTTTAGAGAGTACCTTTCAATATAGACAAATTTCATAATTTGTTTAAATATGTAACACGTTGAATTATCAAATAACTCCCAGGAAATGCGGACCACCAACGTACGCGTTCGTTCCTCGCGCGTCAACAAGTCTTCATAGACAAACTGGTCAAATTAGTTAAGACAGTCGCTAGAGAGAGTGGCAACAGGAACAAGAAGGCGGAACGCCTGCAGCAGCTCCTCGCAGATCCTGACGCTTTTAAATTCAACTTCACGAACTTCGAGCCGATGCCCTTCCCCTTAGACCCTAGTGTTACCATCAAAGGAATAGTGGCAAAGAAAGCCTCACTCTTCAAGTCTGCTCTGATGCCCTCGAAACTGACCTTCCTTACCACCGAGGGTGTGGAGTATGAAGCCATCTTCAAACATGGAGACGATCTCAGGCAGGATCAACTGATACTCCAGATGATCACACTCATGGATAAGTTACTCAGAAGGTAATTTTTTATCAACCTAGCTTTCCCTCGCGACTCCTCGTGGTATTAAAAAATCAAAAGTAAGTAGCCTATGTTCTTCCAGAAATTTCATCCAGATCCGCTCAGCCGTTTAGACTACTGTAAAAAATATACATCTATCCAAACTTTCGCATTTATAATATTAAGAAGATTAGGAACCTTAGGGGATTGACGTCTAAAGGGCTTTTTTAAGAGTTTTCTATAGTAAGAGTTATTTTAGTCTAATTACATTTAAGGATGTATTTGGTTGTCTTGCTAATATCGACTCCCAAACTGGAGTCACA